AACTACTATGGCAGACGACTTCTGACTCGGTGCGTTCTACATAGTCTCCCTGAGCACAAGACCAAGTTGCAACAACGAGGTCAACCCACATTCTAAAATATACTTAATAAAATTAACGAACTTAGTACTTCGACGAGAATTTCATACCTATTAATATTTGAAAGATGAGACTCTTGAGGTTTTAACGCCTATTAATATGAGGGATAAAATATATTCTACGATTTAAGCCCATATAGGAAGTGGCGAAATATAAAAAAGCAATAGAATACATAAAAATATTAGTATGATGATACCTAAATACGTTAAATAAACCCACTTAGCTAGATATAGAGTTAATTTCAGGAGATAAAATTGTTTATGGTATAAGAAGAAGATTGTGATAAACTGAGACAAACAAGCTACTCTAAGAAGTCATAAAATTAAGTTGTATTTATCATTTTTTTAAAAAGGGGGAAATATCTCGGAATCTATTAGCTAATCAAGGTAAACACATTTAAACGAATGTTTTGAAATTTGAAAATGCACGTAACCGAATGGTGTGCAGTGGGAATTTACAAGAAATAAGACACAGCTAATAAGAAATTAATAGGACAAAGAAATGGAAGGATGAGCTCACGACGTGAAAGTATATCAGGTTCATCGGACTCCCGAGATACTGGGTTATGCACAGAGGGATCAGAATTCGTGGATTGCAAGGGTTCGGGCGAATATGCGTCCAAGAGAAGATCACCTGTCAATCCAGGATCGTTTAACTCAGTAAGAAGGAGTTCGGCAAAAAGGTCACCTACTGCAGGCAAAGAATCAGGAGAAGACCAAATGTTGGGATCCCGAAGTAGATAATTTGATACATGGCTGGTCACGTGCTGCAGGCATTGTCCAAAACCATTGGCAAGGGCATAGAGCTCCTAGAAGCAAAATAAAGAAACATTCAAGGCAAATAATGATGGAAGGGTAAAAGTGAGACAGTGATATAAGCAGGTGCTAGCAAATTAAAAACGGTAAAGTCTTAAAAGTATTATGAACTATGTAGATATGTAAATTTCATTTAATGTGGCATCAGGAAAAGTAAACACATGTACATAAGTAATTTAAAAACGAGGTCTACATACAAATTTTAAGGATCAGATGATTGAAATATGCCAAAACTATGTATAAAAGCTGCCTGTAAATTTTACTGTCACCTTATTGCCTTTAAAAATTAGTTTTACACTATTAGTTTCTAAAATAAAATTTCATAAAGTAGATTTTCCCATTATGTGATAATAAACTACTAGGTGGAATCTTTAAATACATTCATTTAATATGAATCCCGACAATTCAGGGTCTGAATTTCAGCTACTTTGCTATTTAAGGTCATATGAGTTGTGTTCACCCTATTTCGTCTAAAGTGATGAAAGACTGGTAGTCGAATTTTTCCACCAGTCACTCATCAATTTAAGCGAAATAGGATGAGAACAACTCATATATATGATTTACTGGTAGTCTCTAAAATTTGCTCAACAGCGAATTATCAGAGGTTAGACAGGAATCAAGGGACATCTACTAGAGGTAGAGGTAAACTATAATATGATGCTCTAGAGGATAGAATGCTCATCTCCTCGAGCGTTTAA